GAGCACGGTGCATTTTTCTCATACAGAAATTTGAGGATTCAACCTCGCCAGATGCATATCGAATTCCTCTGCGAATCATTCATTCGTGTGTATAGTAAATTGGTACTGGCGTTTGCAAATTGGGAATTGCAATCACTGTGTGGGATAGTCATAAAAAATCAGTTAATGAAACTTGAATTTCAATCCAGCTCATGCAATCTCTTCTAAATTCTTTTTCTGACTTTACCGCTTTAATTTTCAGGTATCCAGAGGAAGAAAATGATTGCTGTCTGTTCTTTTCAACCAATGATTTTAGTCAAAAAGTGCATTTTGACGTGAAAGCTGAAAGTAAAACTCCGGTTTCGCAAGTTGTTCGCATGAAGAAAGCGCCAAATGCGCCAATTAGTCCAGCTGACGAACACTCCGCCTGGATACTTGAAGTATGTTCATTCATTTTTGATAAATAAAATTTCTCGAAAACAGTAAGGCATTATTATTTGAATAATTTGACAGATGTTGTTTCATCATCGCGTTTCTTCTCGCCACTGTTTCAGCCTGCAGTTTCTCCACAAACTTTCTTCGCAGTCGGTTGACTCGACTTTGTTTCATTCTGATACCATTTGTTCAACTATTATTTTCCAGCATCGCACAGTGGCAACGGCCAGGGTGGGTGGCTCTCCCACGGAGCTGCTACACGTTTGCATACATGCTCGGAAACAGATGTCCACGTTACGTATAGCACTTCGGCTTCCAGTCAGCATCACAACCATGCTTATGCTAGCATCGCCACTTTTCGGACATCTCAATATGCAACTTTATGTGAAACTTTTTGCGCTCTCTTTACAAACCATATCGTTTCTGTTCCTTTGTTCCATTGCACCCGAAAATGGCTTCGGAAAGACGAAACCAAAAATCTGTAAGTATATTTTTCTCAGTTATAACAACAATGGAGGCAATCTGTTTTTGCCACACTTGTGCTCTTGCTCCACTTACTCTAACTTTTTTCTTGACTTGCCAAGTATTTTCTGGTTTTTTGTTTTGTTTAATGGATCTAAAGCCCCTTAATTAGATTTTTAGTTCGCTAACCGAATTTTTTTGCCTTTTTTGTCCTGTGAGGTGTTATGCATCTCTTAAACTACACTAACTTTTGCGTCCAATACTGTTCTGATGCATATTTTTGATCCAGTTTTTGTAATAACAAGGCGAATTCATGTATTTCAGTACCCGGTGTCTTTGACTGTGAGACATTTTGAAAAATTATCAAATTCAGTTCAGGAGAAAGATTACCAATAGTATTTTAGTCATATTTTAGCCATCTCTTGCTTGCAAAAGATCGCAGCTGTATAACGATAGAGCAAAAAAATCATTTGGCATAAAACACACTTAAAACAAATCCTTAACCTTTCAGCTTAGGTTTTGGAATAGAGTGTATATAAATTAGTGGACCAAACCTGTCAGTTTATGAACCATCATTTATCACTTAACTATTTCTGTTTTCACTTCAAATTTTCCCCTTCAGTTTTCATTACCTGACCATTAACTAATTTATTGCCCCCTAATTAATGAATTAATTGTTTAACTAATTGCAGATACATTCTTTGAAACGGTTGTAATATTGACAATAATTAGCATAATGGTGAATTTGATTGCAATAGCACTGAGTCGTGTGCGTCGTACAGTACCACCAAGGCATGGTTTATATCTGGCGGCCAAAGTGGTAAATCGTCTTGTCTGCTGCATTGGTAGGTTTCTTGTCAAAGAAATAATGCTGTAGGCGAAATTATTTGGTAACAGATAAGAATTAACTTTGTTTGCAAATCAACAAAAAATATTTTTTTGGACAAATAAGAATATACTGCTCTCTTGGTTCTTAAGAGAGTAAACGTAGTTTTTATTATATGCAAG